TTTAGTTACACTATTAGTATTGACTCCCCTTTTCTGAAGAACATCGACCATCTGTTTGTCTTATTGCGTCAAAAATGGCGAGACCCCACGTAGCAGCCTAGTGAATGTGAGCTTCCGTCCCGTGTCCTAAAACCTAGGGTGCATGCTGTCTTTTCGTCGAGCCTGCTAATGTAAGAGTTTCTTAGCTGAGGAGCTTGACGGAGCTTGACGGAGCTTGACTGAGCTCGACGGAGCTTAACTGAGCTCGACTGAGCTCGACGGGGCTCGACTGAGCTTGACCGGAGCTTGGTCTGAGCTTGGCGGAGCTTGACCAATAGAACTCACCTGCTTCACGAGTTTGCCCACTGAGCTTACTTCCTGAACTTGCTCACGAAGCGTGGCGGGTTGCTTTGAGATGGGACATAATGTGCGTAGCAGTCTTTGGAGCCATGTAATTGTTTCGGGATTTCGTTTAGGACAGCCTAGGATGGATCAGCAACCTGTGCTATGGCGCGGAAAAATGCTGCAGATCGAAACTAGAGCTGCAAAAGACGGAAAAGGGGAGGGGGGGGAGTACAACCGGTGTGAATGAGCTGCGAAATAGCCCAAAATGGAGCGCAATCGTGGTGCGAATCCAGCGGCAAAGCCAAAAAGGACTGTTGTGTAGTCTAAACCCAAACAGGCATTACTGCATTAGGAAATTTCTTCTCTTACGGTAACACCGTCCTGATTGGGCAAGCCCTTATCTCCTGCGCCGTTGTCAATTAGTGGCTCTCGAACATAACCAAAGACAGGGACCTCCGCATCCATTTCTACACCTAGCCCGCTTGAGGGAATCAGCAACAAGTTTCTTATCAGAATAATGCTTTTTAACGTTTGAACGCCGGTTTCTACCTAGCATATTTATGTTCAATCCTCACATCTCATGATCTTCTACTGGTGGCTATTTTGTGCTGTCTTTACGTGGTTATAAAGAGTTATCCTCGCCAGTGTTTCCGACGAGGACTTCCATCTTGCATCAGCAGCTCGACATAACTCTTACATACCGTGCACCATGAACGGAGTTCGGACGCGACCGTCGCTTAGCAGGTGGACGATATAGTCAAACGACAGGGTGACTGTCTCACAGCCACAAAATCCTCCCTATTTGGGGCATACTAAGCTGCTGCCGGAGGGAAAAGCCCTCTAGGAGAAAAGATGGCCACCAACAAGGAGAGAATTGACACGAATCCAGGCAGGCCTACTGACATGGATCCATTATCCACTGACAACTCAAGACTTCGAAGTCGACACAGCCTCGTTGATCAAACACCTCCAGACGGCAGGTGAAGCTGCACCCTCAGCTCTCCTGGCTTATCTCAAGCGCCTACGAACATTCTCCTTGTGTTCAATACGGAGATAGATCAATGGTATGGGGAGAATTTGCGAGAGCACAATTTCGCAAATGTTGCCATTTGGACCCAGTATCGAACCACAAAGCAAACATCCTACCACGACGCTTCGAGCGATTGCTCCACCGCGCCCTTGGGTTGTGCAGGGAAATGATGTCTTCCGGCAGCCACGCCTCGAGCCGTCTTCGAATTGTTTCCAGCTCAACACCAGGAAAGAGGCGGCAAGACAGACTTCAGTCTTCAGTGGTATTCCCATGAGGTCACACGCAGAACTTTGGCGGCTTCATGCCGGGGGTTCCTTCATCGATAAGATCACAAAGACAGTGAAATTACCTGGCCTACACTTGCCCCGGAACAGCCAGATGTCTTCGTTCAGGATTCGCGAAGCTGCCACCGTAGGATCAGTTTCGCGTTTTCCTTTCAGGGGTAGTC